CATTGCCATCATCCTCATCATCGTTATCGCCATCGATATCAACATCATCATCGTCATCATTACCATCGGCATCATCCGAATCATCACAAACATTACCGCCATCAGCACCAACATCGAAATCACCCACGCTAATCATGCTCAGCCGCATCCTCATCATCACCAGGACCATCATCGTCGACATCATCAGCATCGCCATCGTCATCGCCGTCATTCTCAACATCATCCTCATCATCATCACCATCATCATTGCCATCATCATGACCAGCGTCAACAGCCTTATCAGAATCAGCATTATCATCACCATAATCATCGTCATCGCCAGCCGCATCATCATTATCACCATCATCATCGTCATCATCATCACCATCAGCATCGCCATCATCATCCTCATGATAGACATCAGCATCGCAATCAGCATCATCATCCTCAACAGCGACATCGTCATCAGCATCATCATCATAATCAGCATCAGCATAATCATCGTCATCGTCATCATCATCATCGTCATCAGCATCGTCATCGCCATCACTATCGTCATCAGCATCATCATCGCCATCATCCTCAGAATCTCCAGCAGCATCGCCATCCGAATCACCATCGTCGTCATCAGAATCGCCATCGCTATCGTCATCGTCATCAGCACCATCATCGCCATCAACATTATCATCAACATCAGCATCCTGATCACCATCACAGACATCATCAAGAACAGCATCATCATCATTGCCATCATCGCTACATCGCTATCACCAAAAATCGCAATCATCCTCATCAGAGTCAGCATCGGCATCATCATCATCACCGCCATCACCGTCATCAGCATCATCACAATCATCAGCGCCATCATCATTATCACCATGATCGGCATCGACTTCGCCATTTGCATGATCATCGTCCTCATCATCATCAGCAGTATCCTCACCAGCATTACCAACATCATCGCCATCAGCATCATCATCATCATCGGCATCACCATCATCATAATCGTTATATTCATCGTGATCGTCATCAGCATCATCATCCTCATCGTCACCAGCATCACCATCATCATCGTCATCATCATCGTCATCATCATATCCATCATCATCGTCATCATGACCGTCATCATGACCGTCATCACCATCATCGGCAACCGAATCGTCCTGACCATCATCCTAATCATCAGCACCAGTATCGTCGTCATCGGCAGCGTCGTCGCCATGAACAGCAGCATCGTCATCATTATCATCATTCCCGCATCATCACCATCATCATTGTCATCAGAATTATCACCGTCATCACCATCACCATCATCGCCATCACCATCACAACCACCATCATCGTCCTCATAGGCATCCTCGCCATCATCTTGATCATCACCACCAAAATCAGCACCAGCACAAGCATCAGCACCATCATTGCCACCATCATTATCATGATCGCCATGGTCATCGACATCGGAATCAGTATCGTCATCATCATGGTCATCATCATCCTTATCACCATCATCATCATCATCATCATCATCATCATCATCATCATCATCATCATCATCATCATCGTCGTCGTCGGCATCATCGCGGTCATCAGCATTATCAGAATCGTCATCGGCATCGGCACCATCGCCGGCATCGTCATCATCAACATCATCAGCACAATAATCGCCGCCAGCATCATCCTCACCATCACCCTGGGCATCAGCATCATCATCGTCACGACCATCATCATCATCAGCATCATCACCATCAACATCAACATCATCATCATCATCATCATCATCATCATCATCGCCATCGTCAGTATCATCAATACCATCATCAGCAATCCCATCCTCACCATCACCAGAAGCATCGCCATCAGCATCATCCTCGTCATCATCATTTTCAACACCATCAGTATGGCCATCATCATCATATGCCTTGACATTGTCACCGTCAAACGCACCATAATCGCAGTCATCCTCATCAGCCTCACCATATCATCACAGTCGTCAGCATCATCATGATCGCCATCGCCATCGCTGTCAGCATTATCATCGTTGTCGTCATCATCGCCACCTTCATCACAGTGACCAACATCACCACGTCATCATCAACATCATCGACGTCATCATCGACATCGGCATCATCATCATCGTCGTCGTCAGCATCATCATCGACGCAGTCATCGCCAGCATGATCATCATAACCTCATGCCCGTGAGAATAAACACTAGGGGATAATAAAGTTCGGGGTTCAGGGAGAGATAATAAAAGTAGCCCAGCAGACCTCAGCATAATCTCGAAGTAAGAGATGAGCAAGAGGAGACCAAGCCGAGCACGTTTTGAGACATCCTTGGCGTTTAGTCTTCATAGAAATATCCTCAACAATGGCTTATCTCGCTGGAGACATCTTCGACAAATCCCTTGTTTCGCTTGAGACATCCACAAACTATTGCCTATTTCGCTTGAGACACCGTCAAACTATTGCTTATTTCGCTTAAGAAAGGCGGAGAAAGAGAAGGAAACATCTCAAGTTCAAATGTATTAAATTTTATTTACAAACGCTTTATGATAATTAAAATTTTTAAGTGCTCGTGTAGGGTAGCTCATGTGCTTCATTTTCCATGGATAATCAACCCCAGGGATAAAAAAGTTCAGAGGGGGGGGGGCATGGAGAGAGAGAGAGAGAGAGAAAGAGAGATACATCATAAAGAAAAAGAAAGGAAGGACTTAAAGATATAATATATATTTAAAAAGAAAAGTAGAATAAGAAATGAAAAGGATAAAGAAAAGAGGAGAGGAGGATAAGACAAAAAACTGAAGATTCAAATGTATTAGATTTTATTTACATGCGCTTTATGAAAATTAAAATTTTTAAGTGCTCGTGTAGGGTAGCTCACGTGCCTCGTTTTCCCTGGAGAATCAACCCCAGCGATAAACAAGTTCAGGGCGCCAGGGGGAGGAGGAGGAGAAAGAGATAGAGAGACAGAGAGAGAGAGAGACAGAGAGGCCAGGAAGGAGAAAGAGATAGAGAGACAGAGAGAGAGAGAGAAAGAGAGACAGAGAAAGAAAGAAAGAGAGACAGAAAGAACTACAAAGAGACAGAAGGACATTGGTTTCGCTTGAGACATCCTGAAACAACGTGTTCGCTTCGCTTGATGTTGTTATCTCAACATAAGAAGGAAGTAACTTCGATGGCGAACTTTTCCCGTGATAATGAAGTTCGGCCTCCGCGCCCCCGCGCCCCCGACCAAACTCTTATTGGTCGACGATAATCAACTCTAAACACTGAAGGGGGGGGGTCCCTTTATTATCATCGGCATGCGGTTAATCGTCATCGTCATCGGCAGCAGCACCAGCATCGTCGGCATCATCATCGGCGTCATCATTCTCATCATCAGCATCATCATCAAAATCATCGAAATCAGCAGCACCGCGTCATCGTCATCATCAGCATCATCATCGTCATCATTGTATGCAGGATTATCGGCATCATCACCATGGTCATCAGCATCATCACCATCACCACTCGCCAACACCCTCAGCATGATCAGCATCGCCATCTTCATCGTCACCATCATCATCACCATGGTCAACGTCATCGTCATCAGCCACATCAGCGTCATCATCATCGGCATCCACAGCACCATCATCATCATCATCATCATCATCATCATCAGACTCGTCATCATCAGCATTATCGTCATCAGCATCAGCACCCTCAGCATCGTCATCATCATCAGCAGCAGCATCATCAGCAGCAGAATGTTTCTCGTCATAGTGCTCGTCAGCATCATCATCATCAGCATCATCATCACCATCATCCTCACCATCAGTAGCATCGTCACCATCATGATCGGTTGCAGCATCCTTCACAACAGCCTTACCATGATCACAATCAGCATCGTCAGCAACATCAGTATCGCCATCGCCAAAATCGGCAACGCCATCTCCATCAGCTTCTACATCGTCACCACCAGCAATATCCTCAGCATCACCACCGTAATCGTCATCAGCATCAGCATCGTCAGCAGCATCATCAGCATCACCAGCAGCATCCTCATCATCGACATCATTACCATCAGCATCATCATCAGCAGCGGCAGCATCATCATCATTATCATCATCATCATCAGCATCATCATCATCTTCATCATCATCATCATCATCATGATCAGCATCATCATCGTCGTCAGCGTCCATCGCCATCGTCATCACTACCATCGGCATCATCACCATCCTCATCGGCATCAGCATCATCACGGCCATCATCATCATGATCGGAACAGTCGTCGGCAGCCGCGGCATCATCGTGATCAGAATCACCGCAACGGGCATCATCCTCATCACCATCAGCCATCAGCATAGCATCATCATCGTAATATCCAGCATCGGCATAATCGTCACCATCGTCATCGTCATCAACATCATCGACATCCGCATCACCATCACCACCAGCATCGTAATCATAATGATCAGCATCATCACAATCACCATCCTAATCGTCATCAGCATCACCATCATCACCAGCATCATCATCATCCTCACCATCATCACAATCATCATCGTCATCAGCAGAATCGTCATCATCCGCATCGTCATCAGCATCAGCATCACCAGCAACATCGTCACCATCAGCATCGACAGCAGCATCATCAACTCAAGAATAAGCATCATTATCGTCATCGTCATCGTCATCGTCACCATTGTCATCGTCGTGAACATGATCAACCTCAACATCACCACCATCATTGTCGTCGTCCGCATCAACATTGTCAGAATCCTCGCTATCATCACCATAGCCGTCATCATCGCCACCAGTCGCCAGCATATACTTTCACCCTCATCATCATCACCATCATCATCGTCATCAGCATCATCATTGTCTCGACATCATCGTAGTCGTCATCGTCATCCTCATCGCCATTAGCACCAGCATCACCGTCATCGCCACCGTCATCAGTCCTTATCCTTCCACCGCCACGGGAGGCTCCGCACAGGGGGGCGCCCCTCGGACCAAGACCCCCGCGCCCACGCCCGCCTGGAGAACGTCGGGGTAGTACTCCTTGCATGAGAGGGTGGGGGCGGAAGGGAGGATGGGGAGGAGGAGGAGGAGGAGGAGGAGGAGGAGGAGGAGGAGGAGGAGGAGGAGGAGGAGGGAGGCAAGAAGGGGGTGCGAGGGAGGGCGGGAGGGAGGAGGGAGGGCGGGAGAGGGGCGGGAGGGAGGCGGAGCAGGAGGAGGAGGAGGAGGAGGAGGAGGAGGGAGGAGAAGGAGGACGAGGAGGCCGAGTAGGAGGAGGAGGAGGATATTCTCCGCGGGCCTCAACCCGTGAGTGTCCCCTCGTGCGGGGGGTTCTAGGACAGGGCCTGGACGCGGCGCTTCACAGGCTCCAGCAAGCAAAAATCTGAAACTGAAGACATTGGAGACCACACTCCAAAATTACTTTCACACGTGTTTCGCCGTAAACGCTGTTGCTGCACCAGGCAGGAGCAGTAAAAGTCATGGAATGGTTCCCGCTGCGTGGCAGGCCTTGGAACGATACGTGCAATCAAGCTACTAGCATAGAGAACGAGGCTCCTTTGGGGGCCCCACAATCGCATGGGTGCACGAGAAGCGCTCGAGGAACAACTCCAGAAGGACCCCTGGAACAGCGAGCCCCTTCTGAATCCAAAGTGGTCATGATTTCAGCGTCTTGGCTGAAGTGATGCCGTCTGCGTGGCCGGGTGTGGGAATGTGGAAAGCGGACATTGCCGGAGCTGGCCCTGGACCACGCAGAACGTCATCTCGAGCCAAAATGACGGTGGTGGAGGAGGAGTAGGATAGCTCCTGGACGACGTAGTCCCAGGGTAGTGTCTGCAGGATCTGGGCAGTCGACACAGGGTAGATCAGCATGGCGGCGTCGACGCGCAGCATGGTCACACCGATCTCGTACAGCCTCAGGGGAGCAACAAACTGTGCTCGTCCTCCTTTCCCATGGAAGGGAGTGGCAAGGGAGGGGAGGGGGAAGGGAAGGGGGAAGTGGGAGGGGGAAAGGAGGGAGAAGGGGAGGGGGGAGCGATGGGGGAGGGAAAGCAAGGGAGGGGGGCTGGAGGAGACGAAGTGGGGCAGGAGGTGAACAAGTTCTGCTTCACGAGACCTGGCCAGCATCTTCGTGAGCTTCTCGACAACCCGCTTCTGCTCCGTGTCCAGGTCTGGTAGACCCTGGAGGTCGCAAAGGTGCCGGTTGTTTGTCCATGGCGGCAGAGCGCAGTTCGAGCGGACAGTGCCGGAGTAATGGTGGAATTCCTCTGGCAAGTACGATGCGTTGCCCTCCCAGAAATGCCTGTCGCCGTACCGCGTGCCACTCCATCCCTCGCACTTCAGGTTACTTGCAGGCCCCGCGGTCTCGTCGCACTCAAACGGCTTATCGATGTTGTCGCTCTCTGGCCAAACCAGCACTTTGCTAGCCATGTGATTGATGACAGTGTCAACCATGATTGAAACTCCGGCATTGCGGCACGTTCTGACCATGTCGATGAACTCTGTCTCGGTACCCGAGCGCGAGTCCAGCTTGTAAGACACTGGCTGGTAACGGGTGAACCACGGCGAGCCCAAGGCGTGCTCCATCGGAGGGGACACTTGAACGGCATCGAAACCAGCGGGTCCTAGGTAGGCGGTGCACTCCTTGGCAATGTCCGACCAGCGCCATTCGAACAGATGCACCACGACGAGGTTCTGCCCGAAGAGGGTGCAGTGCTGAGAGTACACGTCGCCCCGGACTGGCCCGCCGTGGGCTTCCATCAGCCTTTCCTTGGACGCGCACGCCAGCACACGGCATGTGCCGCCGTACCACATGACATCCCGCAGCTCGAAAGTGTCACCGCTCTCCTTTCTCATCATTTCGTGGCACGCCATCTTGGCGCTCGTGTCCTGGCCGAATTCGTTCAAACCAAAGTCTATGTGCGATTTCGTGGCCAACTCCCGGCAGCCCACGCCGACCCACTGCTCTGGCAGCTGGTGGCATTTGCGCACGGGATCAAAAGGTAGTGGAGCGTCCAGCCAGAGATATTCGGTTCGGGCTAGCCATGCCAAGAGGCCACCGCCTATGGCGGCTGCGAGGAAGATGGGTCGCCTAGCCGCGAACGCCCGCGGTCTGCAAATGCTGCTACAGTACACCGCCTCGTGGAGGCGGTGCCGCGCGCTGCCCATGTCGCCGTGAATGAAAGGCGCCGCTGCGAGCTGGGCTAAGTACTGCGCAACGCCCAGCGGCACCACGCACGCTGCAACCGCAGTTGCAAGTTCCGCCTGGTTGCGCGTCATGAACGAGACCGAGTACTGCCTGGCGATGTACTCGCAGACGATGGGCGACAGGAAGGTGCAGAACTGCGAGGCGCACAGCAGCACCGTGCAGTAGCTCAGGAGCCGCCATCTGCTGCCAAGGATACGGATTTTTGCCGCCCAGATGGCGGAGGACTGCATGCCCTGCAGCAGGAGCGTGAGCGCGCAGACCGCCAGCGCACCGTAGGAGCGGCCGCGGTACTCGAAGGAAGACACCTCCATCTGGCAAAGTGCCGCCAGCAAGCTCGGTGGCAGCAAAAAGACGGCGACACTGATCAGCAAGGAAAAGCCGTGCACTGAGGCTAGGCTCAACACTTGCGCCCAGATCATGACGCCGATCGCGAGTACCACGGCCAGCACGACGCTGACCTCTGGTAATCCATACGATAACGATTCGGAAACTGCTGGTTTCTGCATGAAGGAGAAAACACACACACACACACACACACACCAACAACAACACCAACAACACCAACAACAACAACAACAACAACAACAACAACAACAACAACAACAATCATTTTACCCGAACGCTGAGTGTTCTCACCAGTGCCAGGGTTTTCATGCGACGCGAGACAATACCCCCACTTCGTGGGGGGGCAGTTCAAGCTCTACCAAATATCCAAACGACTCTTCGCGACCACCCAAACCCAGCTTCCCGCCCTATGACGTTGGGACACTTCACTTCGTGGCGTGCGGACGACCGTGGCTACTACACTGGCGTGGGGTACACACCCACAGAACTTGGTCACTTATTCGGGGCGCGCGTGTGCCCAGCATCCTGCAATTGTGACATACAATACATGACACAGACAGACAGAGAGAGAGACAGAGAGCAGACAGAGAGAGAGACAGAGAGAGCGGAGTTGGTCACATTTTTGGGGCAAGTTCCTAAGATCGTCGTGTTTTTTGTTGGTCTTGCGCGCGCGAATGTCCACTTTACTTTTTTTTGCAAGGGAGTATTGAAATTTGATTATGTTAGAACAAGAAAAAGTAGCTCGCGCGAGCTCATGTAACAGAAATGTTGAAAAACCATTGGTTTTGTGGGAGTCGGACAGCGCGCGCGGGATGAAATTTGGACATTTTTTTTTGAAAAACCATTGGGTTTTTGATGTTTTTATGTTGAAATCGTTACGAAACCTAAGGTTCTGGAAGGATTTCGTCTTGCGCGCGCGAATGTCCACTTTACCTTATTTTTTGCAAGGGATTATTGAAATTTGATTATGTTAGAACAAGAAAAAGTAGCTCGCGCGAGCTCATGTAACATAAATGTTGAAAAACCATTGGTTTTGTGGGATTCGGACAGCGCGCGCGGAAGGACATTTTGACAATTTTTTCTTAAAAAACCATTGGGTTTTTGATGTTTTTATGTTAAAATCGTTACGAAACCTAAGGTTTTGGAAGGATTTCGTCTTGCGCGCACGAATGTCCACTTTACCTTATTTTTTGCAAGGGATTCTTGCAATTTGATCAAGTAAGAACAAGAATTTTCATTTTATGGTGTTTTTTGCAAGGGAAAACGGATTACAACAAAACAACCGGATCCGGTACCAATCGTTTTGCCTGAGACTTCCTCACGAAAATGATGAAAATGTGGCTGCGGCCTAGGCGCGGCGGGGGGGTCGTGCACCAGGGGTCCCAACAATAATTATTCTTAAGAAGAAATAATGTTCAACAACAATCACTTACCCGAACGCTCAGTGTTCTCACCAGTGCCAGGGTTTTCATACGACGCCGCCAATACCCCCACTTTGTGGGGGGGCCGGTTCAAGCTCTACCAAATTTCCAAACGACTCTTCGCCACCACCCACACCCAGCTTCCCGCCCTATGACGTTCGGACACTTCACTTCGTGGCCTGCGGACGACCGTGGCTACTACACTGGCGCATGGGTACAGTGACTTGTTGTGGTAACATTTTCTGGACGCTAGCTTAGTATACGACTTTTCCCCCTGTTCCAACACTGGACACCTATACTGGTTTTTGGAAAAACCATTGTTTTTTTTAGGATTCGGACAGCGCGCGCGGGTAGAAATTTTGAAAAGTCGTGCAGGTGTTTTTCGAGGACCTACGGTGCGATTCGTGTGATTTTATGATGCGCGGTGCTAAAATTCTTAAGAAGCCCAATGGTTTTTGGAGATTTCGGCGTGCGCGCGCGAAGAAAAAACGAATGTGTCCCGCATGGTATTATTTGACAGGGATGATGGCCCTGGCAGGTGCGCAACCGTTGTCGCAGAAGTTCGAAAAAGTTGCTCGCAAAAGCCCGTTTGACAGAAATGTTTAAAAAGTGTTGGGTTTCCTACGAATCCGCAAGAGCGCGCGGGATGAGATTTTGACATTTTTTTGTTGAAAAACCATTGGTTTTTTGATGTTTTTATGTTAAAATCGCTCCGAACACTAAGCTTTTGGAAGGATTTCGTCTTGCGCGCGCGAATGTCCACTTTACCTTATTTTTTGCAAGGGATTCTTGAAATTTGATTATATTAGAACAAGAAATGTCATTTTATAGTGTTTTTTGCAAGGGAAAACGGATTACAACAAAACAACCGGATCTTGATCACATCGTATTACCTGAGGCTTCCTCACGAAAATGATGAAAATGTAGCTGCGGCCTAGGCGGCGCAGGGGGGGCGCGCACCAGGGGGCCCAACAATAATTATTCTTTAGAATTAATAATGTTCAACAACAACAACAAAAAGAAAACACAAAAACACGGCACCGCTTCAAGGCCTCAACAAAGTGCCGAGCCCCAACAGGCTCGGAATCCGTGGAGTGCCCTCAGGTACCTCTGACTTCTCTGCGCTGCGTACTGAAATACTCGCACGGGCCCCGAGGCCCAGAGAATGGACTTCCTGTTGTCTCTCGCAATACTTTCGGGGACGGTCGCATGACTGTCCCAGAGGCCAGAGAGAGCCAAGACGGGCCAAGAGGGTCCTTATAGAGGGCCTCAAGACTATCCGAGAGGTCCCCGAGGCCCCCTAAGCGCACCCTTAGGACGCGATGCGAGGGCCCCCAAGACGGCCCAAGAGGGCCTCAAGATGACCCCTACGAGGGCCCCACGAGGCCAGAATAGTTGCTCAAAAGATACTTGCACTGGGGGGCCATTCTTCTCTTCGATATGGCCATTGGTTGGATGTGCCGGGACTTCGGCTGCTGCCCTGTGGGTGGGCGCCTGTAGGGCGCCTCGTGGGTGCCTCGTGCTCTGGGCGGGTGTGCCGAGGTTTCGCCTGGTGCCCGTGCGTGGGCGCCTCGTGGGCGCCTCGTGGGCGCCAGTGGCTGTGCCGAGGTTTCGCCTGGTGCGCGCCCCTGGGCGCCTCGTGCTCTGGGCGGGTGAGCCGAGGCTTCGCCCGGTGCCCGCCCGTGGGCGCCTCGTGGGCGCCTCGTGGGCGCCTCGTCGCCTCGCGCGCTGGGTGCCGGTGCCGAGGCTTCGCCTGCTGCCCGCAACCCTGGCGCACCCGCCCAGCGCACGGGGCGCCCGCGAGGCGGCCACGGGCGGCAGCCTGCCGAACACCAGGCAAGACCCGGGCAAACCCATCCAGTGACCTGAAAGGTGAGGTCCCCTGAGTGCAAGCACTGCTGGGGAGCACGAAAATGTCAGACGCCTTGCGAACATACTTGCCGGATGCATCCAGCCTGGACGCATGATCAGCACCACCCCAGGCCACCACACTCGGGAACGTCCGCGGCCAGTGATTCGAGGAGTCAGCAGGAGGCTCCATTCACGAAGGGGCGGGACGAAGAAGAGAGAGGATCATCGGGAGGAAGAAGAAGCACGCCGAGTCTCCCGCCCCTATGTGTGGTGACGATGCATAGCTGGGTCCCGTGATTCGCCAGATGGCCCCAGACCTCTGCCAGCTCGTCGGCCTGCCAGCCGTTGTCGAGCCACCAGCTGGCGTAGCTGAGAGCGGGGAACGCCATGAGGCTACCGATGCACTCAGACAGGGCGAGGCACACGAAAGACCGCTTGTGGAAGATGAGCCCGAGGTCCCAGGCTGGAAACCTGTCCTCCCTATAAGGGCGGGGCGCGAAGAGGCACAAGGCGCCCGCCACCCCAGCGGAGAGTGCTACGCCGATGCCGAGGGGCGCGGCCAGGAGAAGAACCTGGGCGGGCAGAGGGTCCTCCTTGGTGCCAGGCACGCCGTCCGGCGACGCCAGGTAGACGAACGCGGTGGCGAGCCAGGACACGCAGTATCGCACCGTTTCCATGCGGCCCATGCGGAGCGCCGCCTGGCTGACGTCCGCCCGGATCGACATCATGAAGTTGAAGACGACGAAGAGCATAGAGGCCCCAGCGATGAAGCCGTGCAGAAACATCAGCGCCACGGCGGCGTACAGGTTCGGGTCAACAGGCAAGAAGCCGGCCAGCAACAGCAGCTGCCCCAGCAGCGCCCCCGCGAGGGCCCAGCGCGGCTCTGTCTTCTTGCACAGCCATGTCCACCAGGGCAAGCCAATGCACATCGCCAGGGCATTGGTGCTGAAGAGGATCACACGCAGCAGCGACGGGTCCATCGGACCGCTGATCGCGTCCCGCGCTTTGCCAGGGAGCCAGCCTGGCACCCAGCTCGACTGAGCGCGCAGGGCCCACTCGGAGGCCACGGTGAACGTGAGCACCTCCCCCAAGGGCGCCATGACATAGCCGCACGCCACCACCCAGTGGATGCGATGCGTTCCGAAGGTGGGCCGCAACAGCCACTTGGACGCGGCCGAGGTCTCGCGGCTCTCGTCCACCTCGCAGCCCACCGCCTCCAGGATCTGGTCGATGCCCTTGAGGTGCATCTTGGAGGCCATGGCCACCTGCAGCTCCTCCTCGGAGAGCTCCTGCGTCAGGAACTCGCCGTCCGCCCCTGCGGCCGTGGGGGCCCCTGCTCCGAAGGAGCCCAGGCCACCGCCGGCCTCCTGCGACGCCACCAGGCTGACCCTCACTGGCGAGATGTCCTGGAAGAGAAAAGCAGAAAGGCGTGCGGTCGTCGTGCTGAAAACTGGGAGGTCTTCGTCGGAAAGACTAAAGAGGATTAAGCCCCAATTTGGGAGCTGTTACGCCGAAAAGGGCCTCGGACTAAGCAAGATTAAGCCGGATTACGCGGGATCAATCGGGATTAAGCTGGATGAAGCGGGATGAAGCTGGATGAAGCCAGATTTCGGACCAGGGCGAAAACAGAATTTGACCTCCCAGGAGTTGCATCCGAAACAGTCAACCCGTGCGATGGGGACGCACGACGAGGATGCAAGGGCCTTCGAGCACCATGCCGACACTCTGCGAGCGGGGCGCGGCCAGCGAGAGCGGCCAGGGATGGAACCAAGGGGAAGGATGCAAGAGAGCCACCGTGGAAAGTTGCTCATCCTTCCTGTGCGGGCTGACTGCACCATGGGGGGCACCGAATCGGGTCGGGAACGGAAGGGCGCCCATGGCCCCCGCGAGCCTCGGCCGCGAACCGGTCCCGGGACCCAGGCCCGAGGAGCCGCCCGGCAGCTGGAGCCCCGCCCGCACACGGGATGGTCCTCGCTCCGGCGTCTTGGCTGTGAAACTTTTTTTTTTGGGGGGGGGGAGGGGTATCTCATGGACTTGGAAGTGGACACCGATCGAAGCGCGTTTGACGAGGATGCCCTTGTCCAAGACATTGCCAGGTATCGCACGCAGGTGTTTGTAACATGGAACTGCTTCCTGCTTACGGAAAAGACTGTGGGGCGTCTTGGCTGTGAAACTAAACCTCTGGAGCTCCGCGCGGACTCCCGGGATCGGCGCTGGGCCCCCGCCCAGGCGCGCGGAGCCCGCCAGGGGGTCCGGCGCCGAGCCGAGAAAGCTGCGCAGACCTCGGGCGGCTCACGACGCATGCCGCCGGCTGTTCTTCGATGTCCTCCCCGCGGAGCAGCTGCGGCGCGTGGGCGAGCCACCTCGGTTGGAACAAGAACCACAACAACAACAACAACAACAACAACAACAACAACAATCATTTAAGACTGGGGACACTCCGTTCTCACCAGTGCCAGGGTTTTCATAGGAGGCGGGCAATACCCCCACTTTGTGGGGGGGCCGGTTCAAGCTCTACCAAATTTCCAAACGACTCTTCGCCACCACCCACACCCAGCTTCCCGCCCTATGACGTTCGGACACTTCACTTCGTGGCATGCGGACGACCGTGGCTACTATTCAGGGCCCCGCGGCCGACGACGACGGCGTGCGCGCGCGAAGAAAAAACGAATGTGTCCAATATGGTATTATTTGACAGGGATGATGGCCCTGACATGCGCGCAACCGTGGTTGCAGAAGTTCGAAGCACGTGAAAAAGTTGCTCGCAAGAGCCCGTTTGACAGAAATGTTGAAAAAATATTGGGTTTCCTCAGAAATCCGCAAGAGCGCGCAAGATGAATTTTTGAAACTTTTTTTTGAAAAACCATTGGGTTTTTCATGTTTTTATGTTAAAATCGCTACGAAAACTAAGGTTTTGGAAGGATTTCATCTTGCGCGCGCGAGTGTGCACTTCGTGTCATTTGTTTCAAAGGATTCTTGAAGTTTGGTTATGTTAGAACAAGAAATTTCATTTTATAGTGTTTTTTGCAAGGGAAAGCGGGCGTCAACAAAACAACCGGATCTGGATGACATCGTTTTACCTGAGACTTCCTCACGAAAATGATGAAAATGTGGCTGCGGCCTAGGCGCGGGGGGGGGGGCGTGCACCAGGGGGCCCAACAATAATTATTCTTTAGAATTAATAATGTTCAACAACAACAACAACAACAACAACAACAACAACAACAGCAGCAGCAGCAGCAGCAACAACAACAACAACAGCAGCAACAACAGCAACAACAACAACAACAAAAACAGCAGCAACAACAACAACAACAACAACAACAACAACAACCACAACGACGACGACGACGACGACAACAACGACAACAACAACGACAACAACGACAACAACAACAAACAAACAAACAAACAAACAAACAAACAAACAAACAAACAACAACAACAACAACAACAACAGCAACAACAACAACAACAGCAACAACAACAACAACAACCACAACAACAACAATCACAACCACCACCACAACCACAACCACAACCACAACAACAGCAACCACAACAACAGCAACAATAGCAACAACAACAACAACAACAACAACAGCAACAATCAGTTTAAGACTGCTCGTTCTTACCTGTTCGCGGGCCAGTCAGCACGTATATCCCAATGCCTCGATACCCGCCCTCTTCGACTTCGATCGTACCCATTTCGTGCAGCCCTTAAGGCAGGGGAAGAGAGGACGGATGGAAGTAAGGGGCAAGGGGGAGGAGGATTGAGAACGAGAGAGAGTAGCAGGAGGGGGGCTCGGAACAGAAAACACGTGGCAAAACCAGACGGGTAGATCGGGCGGGCAGACCCTAACGGGCGGATCGGGAAGGCGGGCCCAGG